TCCATCTAACACAAAAATATGTGTTGCACCTAAATTCTGCATAACATTGACATCCATGTTATTTACTTTAAGTTTCATATCAAACCATTCAAAGCACCTAACTTTCCTTGTTGTAATGCATTAATCTATGTCAAATCATTCTCAATAAGTTTAGATTCTACAATTGAATTACCCAACCGAGCCACTAAACAATTCAATACATGTATTGAATTTAGATATGTGACCACTTCTTCATCTTCATTACCCTATTTAACTAGAATGACATTGAGCTTCTCTCTCTTTAGACACTCTCTAGTAAAGTGTGGTTCATTATGAATAAAACAAGCAAAGTTCAATTTAGCATTTTTACCATGTCCACTTGATGACTTAACCTTTCTCTTATTAGCAATTGACATTGATGCAACACCCCCACCAAACTTTTTATTTTTCTTGTTTTTCTTTTTATCTATAATTTTAAATTTAGAGGAGGTTGACATGGAGTCCTTTCTAATGACAACTTTGAAATCAACCAAACTATTAGCAACCGTAATATCAAAAGATAAATCTTGTACCTTTTATCATCTTAGTTCAGCTTGTGTCTAAAGTTGGAGACCTAACATGAAGTTGGAGAGCTTATTTTCTTCAAACATATTCTTGATGTTGAGAATCAACTAAATGAAGCTTTTAACATACTTCTGAACTGACTTTTCATGCCTAAGCTTCTTCAATTCCTCCCTTGCAATCTATGATGTATTGATGGACAAAAATTGGTCTTTCAGTTTTTGCTTGAAACGATCCCAAATCTTAATCTTACAATGTTCAGCATTCAAGTCCTCTTTTATCCTCTTCCTCTACCACAACTTATCACCGCCTATGAGATACATCATTGTGATATCAACTTGGTCAACCACCCTAATCTTAGCTATATTGAAGTATTGCTCAACATCCTATATAAAATTTTCAAGTTCTTTAGAACCTTTCTCCTCATCAAAAAGCTTTAATTTGGGTAGTTTAGATCTAGAATGACTTGCCCCATCATAAGTGTTTGCTATTGCCATCTTTAAGATGGAAATCGATTCCTTAGTGACCTCTAATTTATAGCTTGTCTTGGATGTCAAGTTGATATACAAACTCTCAACCTTTCTAGCATTTTCAATGGCTTCCTTTAGTCTATCAAGAATAGAATAATCTTCACCCTATTTGATCAATCCAATCAAACCTTCAATCCAAACAAGTTTTTTCCTAAATTGCTTTCATATTCGCTGGCATAATCAATCAGGCTACAAAACTTCAAAAACAACCGTACTCTGATATCAATTGTCAGAGGGATAAAATTTTCACTTAAAATTCCAGCCCCTATATGATAGTTTAGTCCTATTAAATTAAGCCTTTACTCATTTTTTTGCTCGTGTTTGTCTACAACTACGATGTTTTGCTCATCCAAGAAGGTTCGTACACATTAACTTGTCATCATCAAACATAATTAACATAAGCAATAAAACAGAATAGTGCATAACATATAAAAAAAATTCTCCACCTTTATTATTACCTTAACAAAGAAAATACATATGTGCTATGCAAAAACTAGCATGCTACGTGGCAAAGGCTTTCAAGCCTATGTATTGATAGTATTATGAGAGTTACAAAGCAAAGCTGACTTCTTAATTTTTTAAAATATTGTAAGGCAATTTCTCCCCCATGTTCCCTATGAAATTAATGGCCTCAATCTAACAATTGTTGGACAGTCTCTTCTATGTTTCCATGAACCTAGTGACTATGTAGAGCATTCCCAGCCATGCCCCACGTTTGACAGCCCATTACCCATGATCAGGACAGTTCTCCTCCCAACTAGCCATGTCTGAAAACCATCTAAACTTCCCACAACTCTGCCACCACTTTTTCCTAATGAACGTCTAACGACAAGCTTTTATTGTTAGTTATTTTGTGTTTTGTGCCAATTTAGATGGTTCATTTTCCAATTCCCGTGTTCATGCGAAGCCAAGAACCCATGGCTTGCATGAACCAATGCACATTGTCGGCCAAATTTGTTGCTGTCTGTATAGGCTTACACTATCTTTTGCTATCGAACCCTGGGTAGTGTGCATTTGTTGGCACTCCCTCATGCCTAGACCTCTAACACCCTCCTTGCTGATATAGTGTCCTAGGTATTCAATCTTGTCTAAACAAAAAGGAAAACTTACTTTCTTTGGCAAACAGCACATGATTCCTCAAATTTACAGTCATTCTATGATGTACCCAATTCTCCTCAAGAGAACGACTATAAACGAGAGTATCATCAAAGAACACAGGAATAAACTCACTCAAGCGAGGCTTAAAGATGGTGTTCATGAGGTTTTGAAAAGTAGAGGGTGCATTGGTCGATCCGAATGGCATGACTTACTCGTAATGCCTTTCATGTGTTCTGAAAGCCATTTTAGGAACATCAGCAGAATGCATCCTAATTTGATCGTACCTCAACCTTAAATCCATCTTAGAAGATATAACCGACCAATTATCCTTTTTTACTTAACAAGCACAACAGGAGAAGAAAAAGGACGAGTGCTGTGTTGAATTATACCTGAACTAAGCAGTTCCTTCTCCATCTCTTCGATGAAAACCCTTTGTATATTGGAACATCGGCATAGCCATAAATTAATCGGATAGGTGCTCTCCTTCAGCACTATTTGATGATCATGGGACCCGTGTGGGGGAAGTGATTTGGGTTCTGTGAAGACATCACCACATTCTGTTAATAGACGCTGCAATGGGGATTGAGCTGACTTATGGTGCTCTAGTTTCACTGTTCCGTATAGCTCTGGTTCGTGCACTACATGCTCAATGTGGAGGCTATAAATCTGTGCCTCTTGAATTTCTTTATGCTTAAGTAACAATTTCTCCATTTAGAGGCCCTCAGTCAGCTGGAGTTACACACTTGAGGATAAGGGTCTCTTTAGCCTTCCCGTTAACCCTCATGGTCTGACATCCATTTGCACCAGTGATTGCTTTCAATGTAATATAGGTATCAAGGAGTTCTGGTTCTCCCACATCATATTCCTCCTCCTTAATTATGCCATCGTCTTCTTATGATTCGCCCCCACTTACATTAAAAACAGCTGCTTTTTCCTACTCTTATGATTCTGACTATAAGCTTCATCACACCAATAGCATAACTCCTCGTCTCTCCGAGCATCCCTTCTTTCAAGCTCTGACTGGATAAGTTTTTGCGGTGCAAAACTAGTTTTGTGTAGTGTTCACAGGTTTGGTTGTTTGGTGTGGTTTTATTGTATGGGGTTGTGTGTATTTAGGTAAGAGAAACAAGGATGGTTGGGTAGCTTGGTTTTGGGGTGGAAGTGTGCTTATGACATTGGCTAGAGTATTTCATATCTGCTTGGCTAATGGCTTCGTCAAGTGACTTAGGCTTGGCCTTTTCTGCTGCAATTGGAAACTCTGGAGATAACCCTCCTATGACGAATTTAAAGCAGATTCTTCACTTGTCTAGTCCTCATGTCATCAAACATGGCCAAGCACCATAGAATTGGCTCATAGCATACCCAGATGGGTATACATTATGTCCTGCCACATTTGCTCGATAGAGGGTGCCCTGCATTTGACATAATCCATGCCGACCCCAAAGACATGGTTGTGTCCTTGGCCAAGGTTACCACTAATGCCCCCATAATGCCTCTGTGAAGCAGTGTGAGTCGGTGGTATGATATGAGGAGACCTGATATGTGGACCTGACCTAGTTCACCACACATATTTCTCGTCACAGAAGCACTAGTGGCAATGCTAGTAATAATAATGTGTGGCACAGATGGGTTAGTTGCACTTGGATCTGGCCTTAAGACTCACTCTGTCCGAACATTCCACCTCCAGCTGAAACGACGTCTTTAAGTAGTCCTAAGGTAACATGACTGCCTTAATATCTGCTCTCATCGTTGCTAGTTCAGCCATAGTTTGAGCAGTCGCAGCCTTGGTTTAACTCGCGGCCTGTTGCATCTGTTCTTGCCGGTTCTTCCGAGTACCAAACATGGCATCAAACTGGTCAAATCTGGTGTTGATATCCAAAAGCAATAGTGCCTCGAACATTTTCATCTCGTTTGGGTTCTTGTATTTTTTTTTTTCGAGTTTGATATGAACATCTGAGAAGGCTACACTTGCTGATCGCCAGTCAAAGTCCTTCAATTGGTTGGTGACCTAGATGGATATAGAAAAGAACCATTAACCAACACACCATAAGGAAACAGTGGCCTTTTCTAAACTCCATTAAATAATGAGCAAATGAGCTCGTGTTCCTTCAATTGTTGTTGTACCTGTTTTTCCAAGGAGAGGAGACAAGGGGTATCAAGACAATCAGATTCACTTGGTAGAATGTCAAGCAACTGAAAAATTATTGCACGAGTTTGGATTACCATGAGCCGACGATAATCACAAAATGACAGATCACACAATTTACGTGAACAGAGACGTGCAATAATTTCTCAGGTTATCCATGTGTTAAAAACATTCTTGAACCTGCCATCCCTGTGTTTATCCTGTCGTGCCATTTTTTTAAGCCTCCATGACCCCTTGCTAGCCTAAGACCTTGTCCCATAGCTTGAAAACAAATGCTTTTGGAACCCTTTTTCTTTCCCTGGACCTACACCTCCCTCCCTGGACCTACTCCTCCCTGACATAGGGGTATCATACTCTCTTTTCGAGAATTTATTACTAATTTCGGTTGCCTTTGTTGCAACCAGCATTCAATCGTGATTACCAATAATTATAAGCTTGGCTTATGCCAGCTGGGATGAGATTCATCACCTATTCACCTTAGTTGTAAACATGGCGTCATGGACTGAATCTGAAACGCGAAGGTTCCTTTTTTTTCCTCAAGAGGGGTTAGGGTGACCTCTATAGATAGCTTTGATAAAAGGGTCATCGGCCCCAAACAAGGCACACCAACGCAGAAAGTAAACTGCAAGTACCTTAAATTTTGGTCTATCAAGGAACAAGTGTATCACATAGAAAGGGCACAATTGTGCCAAAAGGCCAGAAACAATCAAAGTAATTTTCATTAATTCTTTTTCTATGGGTAGACAATCGAGTGATGATTGTAGAGGCCAACAGAGCCTGGACTTATTAGTCTGTTGAAAGATAATTGATTTGTACATAAAAGAAAACATATAAAAAAAAAGGGAAGAAAAACAGATGAAAGTGACAGACTTATTTTGTACAAAATGAAAAAGCCAGTCGCCTGCACCCAGTTTATTAATTGTTTACGAGGATGGAGGCGACGGAGCCACTGATGCCTTGCAAATAGGGCACCAATTTTTCAGACTTAGCCATTGATGTATGCAGGACATGTGATACCCATGCTCACATTGTAACCTTCCCACTTCATCTCCATCAACATACTCTTCCTGAAATAGTAATCAGGTAGCATGAGAAACAGGGTGATGTACTAGAGAGCAAGAGAGATAACAAACAGCAGAATAAATTCGTTCCTCCCATACTCATTTTCTTCAGAGTAACGTGTACCCTAAAGTCTAACTAACGAAACTACCTTTTCTTTTGCCTTCTCACTAACTGGATTTTCAGAATTATCTTATAATTATTGTTCTTTTTATTTTCTTGAAAATGGATAAGCTCAGACTTGTTTGACTTATAACTTGATCAAACCTCCAGTCTCATTGAGGTGAGAAACCAAAATGGCCTGGTTTAACACAATTGCTTCTACATCTAGGTCAGCTCACCATGCTAATGCTTTGAATTCGATCAAAATGTGTAAAACAAAAAAAAAATCCATATAAGTGAAAGGCATATCTCAGACAACAAAAACTGAAAAAAGAAAAGAGCAAGAAAAGGGGGGGAAAATCAAAGATTATAGGAAAGTTATGAACAGAAAAAGACCTGACAGATGCTGCACTTGATGTCATCCTTATCACCTTTTAGGTTTGCAGTCGCATCCTCCATAGTAGTGGACTGATAAATGCTAGTCTTGAGGCATTCTGACAAGGCTTCCTCTGTTAGTGCTGTGCTCACAGTACCCATTCTCTCTTCAAGAGCTAATAGTTCCTGTCGGAATAGCAAAAATGTGTTGAATAACAAAACCAACAAGAAACACAAGAGCACATAAAGCAAGAAAGGAGGGAAAGTACAAGGACATAATCGGAGAAAGATATACTGCATGAGTTATTATAACACACTCACAAACCTCATATGACATATTGTCGATATCCAGTCTCATGTCTCTATGTTGATCATGGAAGTTTAGTCCATGAAGTACCAAACTGGTCTCCAAAACAAGCAATTGCTGCAAGACAGCAAAGAAGAGTCAGGCACGTATATGTAACCATAGGAAATCAAAATGGCAAAATTTTAACAACCTCATATGTTAGTTCTTCATCTTGTTCAATCCTCTCGAGTGCCAATAATACCTGTACAAAATTATTTAAACATTGTGTTCAACTAATGATATGATTAGGCACAAAAGTATAGCAAAACAAAATATGGAATAAATACCTCAGCAATCCCAACCATATTGTAGCGCTGGAAACTCTCACGATTCATCAAAGATTGGGTATTACTAACTTCTGCTGGACTGGATGGCCTCATACCCCGTAAACTCCCATTGCTACTGCCAGGTCGACTATAAGAACTTGGGCGGCCTAAAGAGGCTTCCACGGAGAAGCGGTGTGATGAACTCGGAGCATTCAAATCCAGGGACATATCAGGTTGAGATGTTAGTGGGATCTCATTTGCTGATAAATTGTTTCCACTTCCTTGGTTAGCAACACTTGCCCTTGTGTAGCCACTGAGTGGTCTTCGAGACCTAATTGATGCAGCACTGCTATCCCTATTCAAAGTTCCAGTTCTAGCTCGCCTTGAATCAGAAATGGAGATACCGGAATTTGAACTAGAACTCCGCCCTTCTAATGATGACCCAATCATCCTTTTCCCCCTGGCAAAGTTACTACTTTCTCCATCACAAATTCTCTTGTTGAATGTGTCTTTCCGTCTACTTAGATTTAAATCTGATGATGAAGAACCTGAAGAGGAAGAATCAGATACTGTATTGCATCTAAGATTTCTGTGACCAAACCCACTGACATTCAGACGAGTTCCCTGAATGGTGCTTTTGGATGCCAAAGAAACTGGTGACCCCACTACAGTCTCGGGGTTTACCAATCCAGATTTCTGATGAAAATTCCAATGAGATCTTGTACTTTTTGATATACCAGAGCTTCCAGCTTCCGTTGAGGTAATATCACTAGAACCAGCTCCATCGGTTTCAGGGCGAAGGTCTAATTTAATCCTTCCAGAAGGTGGTGTAACTTCATCCTGACCACTCCCAGTTTCTGAGGATTCTGATTCTAGCTGAGAAGAAAACTTTTTACGAGGTTCCTGCAAGGAATTTCTAGGTTTGCTGATGGCAGAGCAGGCCTTATTAGATGAGCTTCCCTTTGTTTCCTTGCCACTCGAGGAAGATGAAAATAATGGCCTTGACCTTGAAGATTTGGCTTTTTCTGAACTTATTTGAGTACCTTTACTAGAGTTCAGTCTGCCACTGCATCCAATTCGGTTGCAAAACTGAGCTTTTTGATCTCTGTTGTTAGCAGTATCTCTCAAAACATGGGGAGATCCCTTTCTAGAGACAATGAACCGATCACCAGCTCTCTTACCAGAATAGTCGTCCATGAATGGTATAACTCCCCTTAAATCTGCAACAACAACAAATTAAATCTATTGTTAAGACCATTAAACCTCTTAAAAAGCTGCCTGATATGAAATGGAAAAGGCTAGCCGCATGGGAAACATCTTATAAAAAAGAAGAATGTACCACTACATTATCCACACTATACACTATTAGAAAATGCAAGGCATAACTAGGAACCATGAATGATTCAATAGGCAACTTAAAGAAAAAGGAAACCTGCTGCCAAAATCTAACTCAAGAATAAATTACATTCTCAATCATCATTGATGGAATAAATAAACACTTACAATATGATCAATCATGCATTAGATTACAAAACCATATAAGGTGTTTATTTCAAAGTAACTATGAACATTATTGGAGACAAATACGATGCATCTAAAAAACGACTACACAATAAATCCCTGGTCCATCCAATCATTACAAGACAATGCAAAGTGCAATCCAAGAATCTCCATTTTTATTGCCATTTACCAAACCATACAACTACAGCCAAGTGCCAAAGGAAGAATTCAGAGTAATTGCCGATCAAGATTTTTTCAGATTACAATGGCTCCAAAAGAGGTGTTATTTCCAGCAAATATCTGCAAATTTGCTCAAAATTCTAATTGAGAATGCTCGTAGGTTTGTCTCTGAAGAACCCTAAATAACCATTCAACAATGCATTAATAGGTAGTATGTGTGCCACAGAAATTGATTACCATCACGCACACATCCCATAAAAACCAAATTAAGATCCACACCTTCAGTATTGCTACAGGAACAGAATATGTTTAGAGTTTGATCTAACATTCCAACCTCACATTTAATCAACAGCAGATAAACAGATCGTAATATCTTCAAACAACAGTCTAATTCCAGCCATCAAATTACTCCACTCCTTTGCCTCACTGGTAAATAATTTATTTATTTTCAAATATACATCTTTTCCCTCTTCTGCTCATAAATACAGTAAATAAATATAGCAAGAAAGAAAAAGAATTCAAAACCCAATTACAAGAAACTTAAGCACCTGACAAAACAAAACAGACATAAGGTAATAAAAGAAACCATGTTCCTTAAATTAAGAACCTACCAAGAACCAATCACATAAACCTACAAAAACAAACAAAAAAAAAAATCACATGGTGAAAAGACAAGAACCTTGGTTTCCATTTGACAACTATATCAATCTTGATCACTCAAAGACAGGAAAACAAGAAAAACCAAACATGCAAAGAAAGATAAAGAGAACAACCAGATGGCAAGACTTCCTCAATTCAGTTCCAAAAAAAGTGGGTCTCTTCAGTGTTTTTAGAAACCAGAGCTCTCTTTTTTATCTGAAATTTTCTCCACTCAATCTGTCCCTTATTTTCCAAAAATAACTTGAACTTTTCTCCGTGATTCCAGGATTCCATCAAATGAAAAGAAAAAATAAAAAAACCAAAGAAATTCAACCAGCTTTCACACTTACAAAGACAGAAAATTCGACAAAAAAAACAAAAATATAACCAATCAAAAAAAAAAACCCCACAAACCACATAGCAAAACACAAAAAACTAGAGCAAAGACAACTCTTCTTGTTCAATTTTGAATAAAAACCAAGAAAAAGATGAAAACCCGTGTGGTCCGGTCTACCTTTTCTTCTTCTTCTCCTTCTGTGTTTGTTCGATTAAGAGGGAGAGGCTTAAAGAGAGAAAAGGAGGCTTTTTCCAGAGAGAGAAAGTTAGTAGAGAGAGAAGTGGGAAAAAACGTGTGTGTTTGTATTGTTTTTATAAATGAAGAAGAAGGCAGCCAGGATGGAAGATCCAAAGATTAATTAATCTTTTTTTTTTTTCCTTACAATTTACCTTTTGTCACTTTCCTTCTTTTTTTTTTTTTTATAACGGCAGCATTAAGATTTGTTTCTATCCTAATTAAAAGATAAATTAGTGATAAGATAATAATATTGATGATGGTTAAATTAAACCAATTTTAACAATCATGTTAATTTCAAGTATTTAGATTCAATTTTTTCTCTATGAAAATAATGTAATTGATGTATTAATAATGTGCTCAACAACACAAGCTGTGCATTATAATACGAATAAAAAATTAATGTGAATTCTAATTTGATTTTAATTTACATAATAAAATATTAATTTACATGATAAATAACAAATTCATAACCATTATCAATTGTATTTAATAAAGAAGTCACGTATAATATTAAATATCAATTTACATGGTAAAATACATTATTAAAGTTATGTTTAATTAGGCTTTTAATGAAAAATATTATGATGCTAGTGATATATATATTAATTATTTTTTTAGATTTATTTTAAATAAAGACAATAAAATAAAAATAAGATATAATATAAGTAATAAAAATATTTCTATTTAAGATTTTTTTCTCAATTCCATCTTTTTATTTTTTAAATAAATCTAGAGAATATTTAATAGATGATAGTAGTTACTATCGAGAATTATGGAATCATTAAAAAAATAGTAATATGTTTGATTAAAAAATAAAATAAAATATTTTCTTGACGTGATGAGTATTTTATATGATAGTATGTAATCCATGTGTTGCGATGATTATTTTAGCCGTGGTGAATGTTCCTGCCCTTGGTGTGTTTATTTATTATTTATTAATTGATTAATCGATACGATGGGCTATAGGGGAGTTAGTGCCGTCCCAGTAAGTAAATGAAAGAAAAAACGTGAGCTAAGCGAGTGAGGTTTTCTTGGCCGTTGGATTAAGTACGTGTGGAAGTCAAAGATCTACGGCTAGTGATGACCCTTACATCACTTTATTTATGCTCTGTTTTTTCTGGACGGGAAAAGGAGGCCCCACGCCACCTCTCCTTGAGCCGGCTAGCCTCTTATTTTTGCAAAAACTTTTTATAAAAATAAAATAAAATTATCCTATTTCTTGGATTATGAAAACAAATATTTTTCTATTTATATTTAAAATAAACTATTCATAATGGAGTTGGTGTAAATCTTTCTGATAATATTCATTTCTTCCATTTTAACTATATAAAAACTATTTCAATAAAAAAAAAGGTCTAATTTTATTTTTAATAATTTATCCATGTGAATCGACTCCTCTTTAATTTTTATGGAATTATAATATTACTTTTATTATTTTTGTATGTATAAACCACGTCACCATAGACTTATATTATGTGGTCATGTATATTTAAAAATCAACAAATTTCATTCAGAAAAAAAAAACCTCGACAAAGCACAATTTCACAAACTCCTTTTTTTTTTATTATTGGTTGTCAACCACGTAATTAATTAAATTAATTAATTGTCACAATTCACAGTATTAAAATCTTGGAAATCGAGGCAATCATTTTATGTGGTGATCTGCTCAAACTTCCAAACACTTGGATTTGGAAAAGTCTCTCTAATTGCTCCAAATCAGTCAAAGATATTAAATGAAATACTTATATTGACGGGTTGATTTAGAAAAAACGAAGTATGATTTAGAATAAATATTATTTTTAATAGAAAAATATATTAATCTAATTAAATTTGATTGACTGGTAATGTGATTGACTTGATGAAATTCTGTCTAACCCTAGCTGTGTAAATATCAAATGTATTTTTTAAAATATAAAATAATATTATTTTAATAAAAATTAATTAATCTAGCGATTTATGAACTGATAAGTAATTTAATGATAAGTACTTAATCCTTTAGAGATCAACATGTTCATTTTTATAATATATCTTTTTTTAAAAAAGTTTATATTTAATGAAGTTACATGCATAACATCTTCATATATTTTAAAAACAACTATTTCATTTGATTTTATTTTTTTCTTTAGTTTTTTCTTTTTCTTTTGCTAAAACTTCATTATATATTTTTTTTGAATGTCAAGACTTTTTATTTGTAAAATATTTTATAATTATAATATATTTTTTTATTATATTACTTGTCATGATTATATTCAAAGGAAATTATGGTTGTAAAAGTAGAAAATGTTACTCTTCATATTTATAAATTTTGTTTTTTTTAAAAAAAATTAATGATGATCACATAACGACACACCTTAAACCTTTTGTAAGAATTATAATAATTAATCAAGATGAAATTGAAAATTGTATGCCAATAAATCTTCAATATTTCCAAAAAATTCAAAAAATATTTCTAGGAAAAAAATAAAAACAAGTGAGTAAAATCACATAATAAGCCTTTCCTTAATTGTTTTTAAGAAATAAAAGATAAATTAAAAACTTTTAAACGTATTGTGTGAATATCACAAGAACAATAATAAAACACAAGCTTAATTAAAAGAATAACATAAAATATAAATTTATTACATAATCCAACAAAAATACCACAAATAATTAATGATCATTTACCTTCTTGTGTACTCTATATAGGAAAGGACGGCATAAATTATGATACTTTTTAAGAGACGACAAATCATAGTGGTTTCTCGGAATAAAGGTTCAAAAACTCTCATTGTTGATGGGCCGGTGGTGGTGGTGGTGGTGCTGTTGAAAGGCATTGCTAAATTAATTATGTTGACAAATGTCACTTATTAAGCTAATATATATATATATTATGGTCATCCCAATTTAAAAAAAAAAAGAATAAAGAAAAATTATTGTTTTGGCCATCACTTTATCATAGAGTCGAGCAAAGGTCCCCAACCCCACAATATTCAAAGTAGGTGCTCGTGGGGCTTTGATTCTCATCTATTGAAAATTCTCATCTTATTTTTATATATAAAAAATAGTTTTAACCCAAAACATAATTATTAAATGTAGTTTCATTCTGTACTTATCCACACTGGACATTAAAAAAATTATTTAGAAATTCATCTAGGGTGACTCCATTAAAAAAAGATTGGTTTTTATTTTTATTTTTTTAATGATTTAATTTTAATTTAAAAAAAAATAAAATAATATTATTCATTTTAATTTTAAAAAAATTAAAATAATATTATTATGATTAATCTAGATTAATTTAGATTAATTCAATCAACTTCTAACTCGAAAGGGAAGAAAATTCAATAATAATATTAGTTGTGATATAATTAAGCTAGGTAGTAAAGGACAATTTTATTGCTACTAAATATTTTTTTAAGGTGATGTGGTATTATAATATGGTGTTTTTTTTGTAAAATAATAATATAATTATCGTTTTTAATATTTTTTTAAGTGAAAACCGGCTACCTTTCATTTATTGTCTAATATTCAATTTGATCTAAAAAAATATTAATCAACATGCAGTTTAAAGATATTAGATTGAGTTATAGTGGGTAAATAAAACCAAAACTTTTATTTTTCTTTCAAAACCAGAAATAAACGGATGAATATGAGAATTTAACTCAAGACCTCATTTATTTTATTTTACAAAACTACTCAGGCCCAGTGATTGAGAGAGTTCTTACTCACTTTATTATCCAATATGTTACATGTATAACTGGTAATAATTATAATTATAATTATAAAATGTTGAAAATATCCCAAACAGGAAAGAAAGGATGTCAACAAGAAAACAGTATGAACACAAGGATTACACTGCCACTTGTAACACAAGGAAGAGCCAATTTTGCCACTAACCTAGACCCATGACAGACTTATCCTCCCCCCATCTTCTTGTTTACTAGTTAAATTAAGATAAGCATAAGAAGATTTGCAAATAAATAAATAAATAAATAAAACAGAATAGCTTAATTCTCCAACATCCATCATCAATTTACAAATCATCTCCAATTATTAATAGAGAAAAGAAAGACATGACCTGCATTAATAAATTAGTCTGAAAAAAGATTATGCACAAATTGGCTTAAGCCACCATCTATGACAGGTCACTTTTGATGATGATGTGGACACAGCCTTCAGGAACTTGCCTAAAGCCCCAAGTTCCTCCACAACAACTGCAAAAGTGGGGTTTCGAGGTGCTTTGCCAGCACCAGTATTTGGCTGGCTAATCCAGTATTTATCTATTTTAATTATACATTTAAAAATATTTCAATTATTATATTTTTTATTTTTATTTTTTTAATCGCAAAAACCAAAACGGCAACGGAAAACACAAACTAAGTTTAAGCTTGGTGTTCCAAAGTGGAAAAGGAGGAGGGTGACCTGTTCAACAAAACCAAACCCTTTTGTTTTTGTTTCAAAACATGTCTTAAATTGTTGTATCTCTTTGTTACGGTCCTCTCGGTAGCTAGAAAACGAAGACAAAGAGAGAGAAGAAATGGACAAGCTGACAAATTTGAAGCAATAAATTAATCACCAAGAAGAGGGAGTTTTCTGTAGTCCAATTGTCAATGGCTTATTGGCTATCACAGCTATAGTCTAATGAAAAAAAAGAAGAAAAGGGACTAACCTGAAAAGTACCCTCTTGCCTCAGCTCTTCCTCAATTTAGACATTTTCTTATCAACTTTGGTCCCTCAAGTTTTAAGAGTTTGAGACTTTCCATCCATACGAGTCCTTTGATCGTGAATTCATCACTATTAAATGTAGTTAATTTTCTTTTATTAAAAAAAAAAGATATAAAGGGACCCAATTGAGAACAGATCCAAATTATTTCCAGGCAAAATTGAAAGTATTGAAAGATTTCAACTATATCTCGCGGACATCGACGACTCAGAACCATGAGTTGCCAAACGCAATTAGACAAACAAGCAGCTGTTTTTCCTTCTTGGTTGTGTTTTAAGGGAAAAAAACATTTGACCATCCTTAGTTTCATATATTTTTGCCTTAAAGCCTACAAATTAAGTCTGAAAAAGCAGATACAGCCAATTGTATGAGTAGGTGGATTTCTCTATCAACCTGAGAAGGAAACGAGGGAGATGGAGGAGAAAAGTGAAACTCCATTTTGCATATGTGTGGACATACATCGATCCATGGCCAGGCTCCAATCTGAATGAGATCACTCTCTTCCACAATAACAAGGATTGTGCTGTTATTCATTGGAGTCTTTATCAAATATCATTAGAGACCTGTTTGTGGGCTAAGCAGCCATCACAGACCACCTTGTTATGCAACTAGTTTATGAAAATTCATCATTTGCTCGGAGACCACCTTGCTAACTTCAATGAGAATCCGTTTCAATTGAACAAAAAAATAATAAAAATCTAAGAATCTTAACCTTTTCTTTTTCTTTTATATTGAAAATCTCTTAATCAAAAGAAAGGGCAATGAGTTCTTGATAGAGAAAGCATGAGTGATTTGTTCTCTTTGATTTTTTTTTTTAAAATTAATCAACCCAAGTTTTCCTTTTGTTTCTATTTAATCAATAAATTAATTGTCAGATGAATTAGATCGGTTGTATCGAGGCTTTCTCTATGTTTTTCTTTTCATACATTTGATATTTACCGATTGTTAAATAAAATCCCGAGAATTAAGTTTCTTTCCCATCATATTTAGATAAAGCAAAATTCAATATTTAAACTAATTTATTCATAATTTTTCTAATGATATATAACTGCTTAATCCAACCTGTTAAGTATTTATTTGACACCGAGATTACTTCTGCTATATAAATTATTTTTCAACTAAAAAAATATAAAATTAATATTTTTAGATGATTTTAACATATTAATATAAAAAAATTAACAAATATTTATCTATATAGTTAACCATGTGAGCCAACGAACAGAGTTTAAGACTTGATGTGGTTACCATTAATGTGACATGGACACAATTTTTAATACTCTAGACAATATCATCTAATCTTAGATGATGTATTCTATCACACAACAAATATATATAATTGTTTTGATAACTACCATACCTTATAATGAAACTACCTACACTTGATATTTCTTTCTTTAATTAACAGCTTAATTAATTACAACTAAAAACGTTGTTATGTGTACGTGAGTACCAAGAAAGGGAATTAAGTTGCTAAGCATTGAAAAGGTCAACATTCCCTCCTCCACATGTGTAGGTTGCTTGATACCGATGATCTATCATTATTGATTTCATGGCCTTCCATTATCTCCACAACCAAAGCCACCACCATTTCTCCTTTTGTTTTGCGCAATTCACTCTCCTTTATCAAATCCCAATAACCATATTTCCTCTCCTTTCTTCATATACTCATTTCTTTTGCTTTCTCATGGCATAGCAATCAACAATATTACTCTTCCTAGCCCCATTTCCTTGCCTTGATCAAGGTACGAAACATGTACTTCAAGCCATCTCTCGCTCTCTTTTTGCTTGTAATGTCAATCTATATTGTATTTCTATTGTTTTTTTGATTAGTTTGTAGTTTGTTTATCTTACAAGAAACCAAACAAAGAAAATCTTCTTTTCGTTTCTAGCTAGCATGATCGATTTTCTATATGGTCTTAAACAAAGTGTTTGCTAAAAATAAATAAATTCATGTCACCAATTCCTCTCTTTTGTTCCATATATAATAAGAAATCTTCAAGAATAATTAAGAATCATTTTAGCTTCAGAATTTTTTTTCTTTCATTTGAATGTACCCACTTGCCCTAGACATGAACGGCACCTTGCCCTAGATGACAAAAATCATTCACCACCTCCTTTCTTCTTTTCCATAAACGATGAAGTTTTCAAGCTTGCTATTCTTTTCCTGAGAAATAAGATTCATTGTGAATACGAATCACTTCTCTTTGTTTGAATGTAACCGGCCTTTGCCTATAGAACATAAATTAAACCTTGGTCATCGACATGAGCAATGGCGAAGAGAATGGTGCAATAAATGAGTTTTAAGATACTAGTTTATGCTGAGCAAAGAGAATGGTGCAATAAATGAGTTTTAAGATACTAGTTTATGCTGAGCAAAGAGAATGGTGCAATAAATGAGTTTTAAGATACTAGTTTATGGTGATATATAAATGAAGGTTTGCAAATTGCATCATTTCGGTTCCACTAAATGGATGGAAATGAAGCAAATTAGAGACAAACATTGTGATTTTTTGAGCATATGATTGGACATATATTATAGAAATTTTTCTTGTTTATTGGACATAAAATCATAGATAGAAAAAAACTTCGCAAACCCAAATGTAGAAACAAGAAAAGAAGTACTAATCTATTCTGACAATAGAAATTGAGCAATTCATTACAGATTGCGGGTTCCTGTGATAATGCAGGATCTTTTAGAAGTTTTTGAGCTCAAAAATTTGAAAATATATGGCAACAAGTGCAACCAATAGCACCTTGAAGAAGGAGAAGAAGGCCACACCCTCTTCACATCCTCACACGAGTACTCGCAAGCAAGGAGTTTCAAGACCAGCCAGCCCTTCATCAGGCTCCACGAAAAAGGATAATTCCAGCACCCCATCAGGAAAACCTATCCCAAACTACCTTAAGCCTACGTTTAGCTCAAGACCTGAGCCCTTAAAACAAGTTAAGAAAACTAGCCATGAAGACACCACTCAAAAGCCAGCTCTTCTTAGAAGAAGATCCTTTGATAGGCCTCCATCTCTTCATCACCAGGTACAAAAACTAGACCCCTCATCAGATCCTAAAGAGAGACTGGGTCGGGACAGAATAATAGGCACTGCCCGATCTTCATCTTTTTCATCAAAAAATGTTACTTCACCAAAAACTGTTGTGGACAGGAATGCCCCAACACATAAGCCTGGAAAATCTCACCAGCCACTGACTACAAGGACAATAGGGAGGAGTATTAGTCTCTCTAACAAGAAAGTGACCAATGCTCCTCTTTTGCCGAAGGAGCCAGTTGGTCATGATGGAACTCTCAATTTGGATCTTGAAACCATGCTGGAAAGCAATGAAGAGTCTTTCTTGGCTAATGAAACTGAAGAGATACTGAATGATGTGAGCGAGGAACAAGTTCCTTCTGGTTCACCAAAGGCTGAAAATGAGGAACTGCATATTGATGCTGAAGAAACTGGAGTTAACAATGGTGAAGATGAGAAGCTCATCAAGGGTTCTAACATTCCCACTGTCGCTGGAGGAGAAATTAAAGTCTCCGCATTAGCAAAACCAGTTGAAGAAACAGAAACTGAGTTGCATCAAGAAAACGAAGACCAACTTGAAGGAGAGGAGAACAATGGCAAATTAGAAGAAAGCATCGACGCTAATGCTAACCCTGAAGAGGGTATCGCAGATGAGGCCAAAGTTGAGGCTGTTGATAAAGAAAGAGCGGAAGAGAACATTGTGAAAGACAATGCAGTTTCTGATGAAGAACTTGTGGGTGAAGAAAAGAAGCATGAAGACATGAACCAAGGTAATGAAGGAAGTGAGGAACTTAAGCCCCATGAAGGACAAGATCAGGTAGTGAAAAATGCTCATGAAGAAGAAAAAGCACCAGATGCAGCTGATTCGCAAAATAAGCAAGTTGTACAAGGAAACAAGAAGGAATCTCATGCTGCATACAATGATGTGATCGAAGAGACTAAGAATAAACTACTTGAGGAGAGAAAGAACAAGGTGAAGGCACTGGTTGGGGCTTTTGAGACAGTCATAGACTATGAATCTGGTTCTAAATAAACCTAACTGATGACAACATCCAGACAATTCTCCACTGAATTGGAGTAGCTGAAGCTTATTTAATTTCAAGGTTGCTGATGTGTGGATATTGTTGTCTTTAGAAAAACATTGCTGTTAATGTTCTAGAATACATGACTCCAGTTTGTTTTCTGTTTTCCTTTTCATGATACATAGCCACGAACATGTACTTAATCTGTGAATTTTTTGTATGAAAACGTTTGTTATAGACTGGTACATATGTCTTACTGCTGATAATTCCTGACAACTAGCATTTGAACTAGATTTTCCCTGATGATATTTACAAATATTGCTGTATTCAATTCATCATACGACAACTAATGACTTTATATGAACAGATCAATTCTGTCTTCAAAGTTTCAGAAATCCCAATCAAGCCATTCCATTCAGATTTGGTCATATATCCATCCAAATTATACTTTGTTTTTTTGCAATGAGCAAGTCATTTGTAGGGAACTCAAGATTTTCAATTAAGGAGTTGTAATAGAGAAAAACCAAAATTGTTTGGGGATAGAATTGACACAAAAATTTCTTTGGGGCAAAAAAATGATATAGCCTAAAGAATATTTTCTTAAAATCATATTTATAATATATTTAACTGCAAAGAAACCTACCATTCCATCAACCGTTGCCATCCAAAATTAGCAAATAAAATCTCTGCCCTCTTATCAATATCTTCATCAGAACCATAACTTCTGAGTTCTGAACCTTTCAGGTTTCAACACCTAGACTTGTTTTGATTATCGATTCAACATGTTCAATGGCTACAACTGAAAATTTTAATTTGGACCATTAAAGCTCAACCTTCTTCTCCTCCTAGAGGAAGAAGAAGCATGAATAAGAATTGAAACCAAACGCCACTTTCTCAAGTTGAAGCCATGTAGAAAGTTTATTTTCTTGATTGGTTATCCTAAAGGGGCCCAATCCTGATCAATTCTGTATCCTCCCTGTGTGATTTCATCTTTTTGTAAAAATGTAGACAAACAAAGATAGTTTGATGCAATGTACAGTGAAAGATAGAAAAGGAGGATTTTTTTTTTTTTAAATTACAATTCTAAATATTCTAAAGTTTTCCTACTATTACAACCGGATGAGACAGCATTCACGAAGCTTTCTTTCAATTCTGATCTACTAATTTTTAAGTCATGTTTTCGTTACTGTCTAATATTTTTCTGTGTAGTTCTGTTCATCGTGACCATTTCTCCTAAACCGTTTCGGTAACGCTATCTTATTGAACTTTGAGAACCGGTTCTTGATCACAGTGAATAGGAAAAAGGGATCAGATCAAACATTGATGAACTTTTCCAGCAACCCAAACTTCCAGAGGAGTGGATCAATGACATTGATGGAAACAATATTAGAAAGATCACCAGCACAATAATATAAAATTCTGCAGAAAAAGGTCACCACATAAAATTCGTTTCGAATAGTCTGTCACTTTACAACTCAAATAAATAAAAAAATCAACCTAGAAAATTAAGAATCGTAATTATAAATAAAAAATAAAATAAAACTACTAATAAACTAGGAAATATAAAAATAAAAAGAAATAACAAAATTGACATGGATAGTACTTTCAAGGTCTAATTTGAAGGCTTTTAAAGTGTTGACAAATTTTATTCGGCTAAGCCTCTTGTAAAGCTGGACCTTTCAAACCTCTTGCCCAAATTTAAGTGTGATTTAATAATTAAATTGAAATTTATAAATTTTTTTATCAAATTATTTGTATGTGTGTGACATTGTTACGAACATCCATCACCCTCTTATAAGTATAATGTTTGTATCTATATAAAAATATAGACAAATAAGGAATCATTATCTTTTATTGGTAGAAAAAAAAAAGGAGTCGCCACCTAATATTTTAATTACTAGAAACCCCAAGTAGTTTTAGAGATTAGGTACAAAAACTAGTTGTGTAAAGGAAAGATATTAACACCCCAAATACACCCTACCTAATAGAAGTTACATTATTTAATTGTTTGATATATGCTAGGGTTTGATTAGGTACAAAAACTAGTTGTGTAAAGGAAAGATATTAGCACCCCAAATATACCCTACCTAATAGAAGTTACATTGTTTAATTGTTCGATATATGCTAGGGTTTTATTGTATTTTTAATTGTTAGTCTATCTATAGTTTAAGAAAAGTTCTCTTCTGTGAAGAGGTTCTTATCTTAACGAGTAAAGCTTAACTATTCTAATGTCTATAAAAGAACTATCTTTTTAATATTGGGAGTACATTTTATGTATAAATTCATAATCTCATACATTAAGACAAAACAAATTTTTTTTTTGGATTTTTGAAATATTGGCCAAGTTCTCGTAACTTTAATAAACTGGTTATTAAATCTAAAATACATGCTAAAAGATTGTTTTTTGAATTTTTCTCTATTGTATGAAAATTCAATGTGATTTTTTTAACTTTGAGAGACTTGACCATATGTATGAAAAAATAAAAAAATATTTTTTTGAAACACCTGAAATTTTAATACCGCATTTATATCTTTATGATATAAAAATACAGATTGATATTAATCAAAATGGAGTAGGATAAAAAATATACATAGGGAAATCATAATTTTTTTCAAAAATATATATTTTTAAAAAAATAAAACTGGGTTGAATCAGCCTAATTATATGGGTTGGGCCTATGTTGGCCCAGCTACAAGGCTGGACTTAGCCCAACAACATGGGCTGGGTTGATGTTCCAGCCAAACAAACGACTAGTTACTGTGTTAAATACAATAACCAGCTAAATATAATTAGCTAGTTACTACTCTTAGCACAGTAATTATCTAATTACGACCCACGTTCTGCATGCAAATGAAAGAAAAGAAAGGGAAAATAAACTAGGGGTAGCGGGGGTGAGAAGGTTACTTGGATTGGCAAGGCACAGTTGTGGCCGTCAGTGGTGGTTGAAGGTGGTAGTGGCAGCGGCAGCGGCAACGACTAGGAGGAGTGGCGACAGCTATTAGAATTCTTTCCTTTCTATGTGCTGAGATCAATTTCTTCCTCTCCTTTCCTGTTTTAGCTCTCCTTGAGTTTTCTTTCACTTTCTTTTGTTGTTAGGGTCTTTCTTCTACCTTTTATTGGTCCCCTTTGTCTATTCATTTTTTTTTCTATTTTCTCTCTAAAGCCATCCTTGGTTTTCCTTTTCTATTTTGTTTTCTTTCCCCTCCTTTTCTCTTATGTTATGATTGTCCCCCTTAGTTCTCGAAACAACTTCCTCTCTGTTTTCTATCTGTTTGTAAGCCAAAGAAAATCATTCTCTCTGTTTTATGTTTTTTTCCTTCTCTCTAGTCTCTTCTATCTTCTTCCTCTCTCTTCTATTCTCCTATATTTTTAACTCCTCCTCTCCCTCCCCCTTTTCTTCCTTTTTTGGTTCCTGCACTCCTTCTGTATTTATAAGCAGATGGAGAGAGCGCCACCTTGCCCTGTCCTGTCATGGTGTAGAGCAGGGTGGTATTAGGGTGACTACTGCATAGCCATTCCTGCCTCTGTAGGACATGACTCTTTCTTTATTTTGGTATGATGGCAGGGTATGGTGGTGTCAATAAAGGGACAAGTCGGGTCATTGTTGGTTTTTTTAGGTTTTGAAAAAGAGAAACAGAGAGAGTGAGGAGAAAAAAATAAGGGGAAAAATGCTTCTTCTTCCCTTATTCTCTGTGTGTCTAGGGGTGCTTATTCTTCCCTTATTCCCTGTGTGTCTAGGGGAAGAAAGCTTATAATGTCGTTCAAAATGACATCGTTTGTTTATTCCTTTTTTTTTTTAAATAGTACATGAAATTATGTCATTTTACCTAAAATACATAGTTTCATTTAAAAGAAAATGATGCCAAAATGTGTCAATTCTAATTAAGTCCTTCAATTTTATTTTTTTGTGGTCCTTGGTTTTGGATTTCTTTAATCGAGTTCTAATTGACCATCAGACTTCAATAGCTATATAATTAAACCCTTGATTTGACCAAATCAAATCTCAAAAATTATAATTTAACCCTAGAAGTTCAATTTCTTCTAATTAAAACATAAATTGACATAAAAATCACTTTTATTGCAATCAAACCCTTCATAAATGTAATTAAACTTTCAATAAAATTTAATTGAGTTTATAAACATTTGATTTTGAACTTTTCTTCCTCAAATCAAATTTTTATCATTAAAAAAAAACTCTCATCAGTCAATGATATGTCATCAAATGTCAATCTTTGTATTTTTGAACCTCCTCAACCAATTCCATAAATATCCCTACAAAACTATCTATGTAGCCTAATTAAAGCAAATCCATAACTAACTCATCATAACCATAAGTGGTGTCCTTCCCTCCTATATCCTCCGTAATGGGAAGCAATTACACCTATGGAAACAAAAAATTTCCACCAATTAGAATTTTTTATATGTTATTTTTATATTAGTTTTACATGAAATAATAAAATAAATGACATTAAAAATAAATGGGATTTCATATGTTTCTTGGCCAATGAAAGCTTGAAACACGTGACGAGATATTTAAGATATCTTGTCATAAATACAAGATCCTATAAATAAATATCAACTAATAAAAAAAATATCATACGGTATTGAAAAAATGATATGAGAGCCCCTACAAACCTTTATAAATGAAGGGTCTTACCCTTGTTGTTACCCATTTTTGGATCCTTATAAAAAAATAAGAAACGATAAAAAAATATATTTGATAAAAAAACAAAAAAAATAGCAATGAGAAGAGAATGCTAGAGCGCCTAAAAAATAGCTAAAAATTGGTTAAGAAAGTTCAAAAATATAAAATTAAAATTTGATGGTATATTTTTTACTAATGAAGACCCTATTGATAAAGAAAATTTAATTTGCGAAAGAAAAGTCTAAAATTAGATATTTAAGGACTTGATTAAATTTTATTGAAGTTTTAATTAAATTTATAGAGGGTTTGAATGCAAGAAAAATTCCTTTTTAAGTCAATTTAGGCTTTAATTAGAAGAAATTAAAGTTTATGGGCCCAATTATAATTTTTAAGTGTTTATTTGGTTAAATTAGAAGCTTAATTGCACAAATATTGAAGTTTGATGGGCAATTAGGGACTTTATTGAAGAAATCCAAAACTAAAGGCCAAGCTGGATAATAAGCATGAATAAAAGGACTAAAATTGATTGACTCATGGACTAATTAAAGAAAGTAGATGTTTGTTGATCAATTAAGGGTCAAAATGCGCAAATT